GGACCATGGGCGGCGGGTACCATAGGCTGGGGGAGGGGAGCTTTGGGCAGAAGGGGGGCTAGCCTCCCCCAGCCTGCGATTCACATGCCGCCCTTGCTGGGGGCCCAATTTGGGGTCCTGACCCACAGGTTGAGAAACTCTGGATTAGAGACTTGGAAGGCTGTAGTGATTCTGTGGGTGTTTACTCTACCCCTGCCAGCAGCTGCAAAGAACCCACAACCTTCTGTGCTACCAGATTTGCCCATTACTTTGGGGTATGCTCATTTATTAAGGTTTCTCCTCCGGTGGGGGGGGTGTCTGTAATTCTATCAATGTATTGCTTGTGTTCTCATACGGAGCTCTACTCCTCCCTTCTGCAAGTCCCCTCCCAATGGGGCTACCCTGCAGGACCTAGGTTCCCCAGGGCTGGGTTCCTCCAGAACCAGATGAACACCCACCCACACACACATACTGAGCAGAGCGGGTCAAGCAGCATTTTCAAGCTGCCACCCTTATATGCCACAGGTTTAGCACGTCCCTATCCCACTTTCCCGTCACAATTGCACTGGCAGTAACCCACTTGATGAGCAAACCCCACAGTACTTTGGGCGCTGCAGGGATCTTTAGCTTAGGTAAAAGAAGCGTTGCTGTAAAGTGAATGGGGGAAGCTAAAATCACAAAAGAGTAAAGTTCAGAGAGCGAGAGAGAAGCAACCAGCTTAACCATCAAAGTTATTTATTGAATGATAGTGATCACTACACAAGGAGAATCTAAGCCAACATAACAATTACATTATTAAAGGTTAACACCTGAGGTAGAAAAGAAAACAGAGAGAGAGAAAGAGAAGAGAGAGGGGATCTCACCCACTCCATGAGGCTTGAACTGGTCGGGGTTCCCAGATGATGGTGGTAGCTGAGGGTCCTGAATGCTGGAGACAGGCAGAGCCCCCAGCACGATCAGTCAGGAGAAGATGGAGTCCCAGTGGAACTGATGCATAGTTTGGGTCCCTGCATCAGAACCCTGACTTGGGCGTAGGTAGGGGGTTTTGTAGAGTAAATACAATGGTTGAAGGGAGAACACTAGATTTGTTTCTAGGTAAGCTGATGACTCAAGGGTTTTCTTTAGGCTAGACAATGGAGCTGATCCCTCTTGGCTATGGGTGGTGTTTTCTTCCAGGGAGCTCACAATGCAATTAGGTTGCTTCAGTATTTGGATATCAATCAAAGATTCATGACTAGAATTGGTCTGATAACTGCTGAGCTTAGGGTGACCAGACGTCCCGATATTATCGGACTTGTCCCGCGTCCCAACCTTACATCGGTCGTGACGCCCTTTGTCCCAATATCGGGGACTGTCCGGATCGCAGCCGGGACCGCAGCACCGCCCGCAGCACCGCCGCTCACCACTTCCTGGGGCAGCTCCCGGTGCCCGCCCACTGGCAGGAGCACTGCCCCCCTCACCCGACCCAACCTGCAACCCTAGGAGCCAGAGGGACCAGCCTGCCGGATGCTTCCTGGGATGGGAGCCGCCCCAGGTGAGCCCCGCCGGGACTCCTCACCTCGTCCCCTGGCAGGTCCCTCTGGCTCTAGGATGGGGGGGCTCTGCGTGCTGCTGGCGCCTGCAAGCCCCACTCCACGGCTCCAGCAGCTCCCATTGGTGCTTTTCCCGGCCAATGGGAGCCACGGAGCTCGTGCTTGTGGCGGGAGCAGCACATGGAGAGTCTGGAGACCCCCCTCGCCGCTCTCACCCTAGGAGCCAGAGACCGCCCAGCAGGGCTGGTGAGTGCGGCCAGGGAAGGGGGCAGGGTGTGATGGAGTGAGTGTCTGGGAGGTGTGTGGGGGGTGTGGGGCTGTGAGGGTGTGGAGGGCGCTGAGCAGTGGGGGAGGTTTGTGTGTTTTGGGGTGCTAGACAGTGGGGGCCTTGGGGGGTGCTGGGCAGTGGGGGAGATCTGTGTGTGTCATGGCACTGGGCAGTGCAGGTCTGTGTGGGGCATTGTGTAGTTGTGGTGGTGAGGCTGTGGGGAAGGGCACTGGGAGGGAGGGTAAATCTGTGCGTATTGGGAAACTAGCGAGTGGGGGGTTCTGTGTGGGGTGCTGGGCAGCTGTGGAGGGGCTGTGGCACTGGCAGGGGGCGCTGGGCGGGGTGTGCGTGCACAGCACTGTGCATTTGTGATGTAGGGGGGCTCTGGGCATAGTGGATCCAGGGGGCGCTGGGCAGGGGAGCTGTGTGGCGCAGCATGGGCCCACCCCCAACAGGAAGGGGCACGCTGGTAGCACAGGACCAGGCGGACCAGTGTGCTTCCTTCTGGCTCCGGTTGGGCTGTGCACCTGTGTCTGTCTGTCCCCCCGCTCGACCAATGTGTCCTGATATTTCACTCTTGCGGTCTGGTCACCCTAGCTGTGCTGGGTGTGGGCAGGCATGGGTTCATTAACACCTGGAGCAGAGATCCCCCAGGATGCAGTGCTTCCCTGCTTTTCTGCTCCCAGAGTTCAGTGTGGTTCTCTGCTCTCCATTCTGTATGCTAATGGAGATGCCTTAATCTTGTCACCCTTGTCAGGAGGGGTCTAGGTGTGTCTCCCAGCACCCTTCACTCTGCAAGTCTTTTCTCTGAGCGGTTCTGGTTCAAGCAGAGGCTGGTGTGTGGGTGTGTGTGGGTGGGGGGGTCTTTCATGAGTCAGGCTGGATACTGCGCCCTGGTTCCCCAAGACACAGAGCTGACTGGTATCATCTGCTCCAGTGCTGGGGTTTATAGCTGCTTTGTGACTCAGCCCCAGGAGGGAGGGAGACACGGCCCTGCACACCTGTCGGGACATTCCCAGGTCTTTTCCAGCTCTCCTGTCAAGGCCGTGAGTGGAAGGGGCTGTGTACATTTAAGCGAAGCCGGGGTATGAACGTGATTGTTGCTGTGGTGCAGGGCTGCCAGGGGACCTCGCCGGGCGAGTTCAGCTGGTTTAGCTGCCGGTTTGAAATTACTGCCTTTGTTTAGCATTTTCTGAGGCAGGTTCATACCTTTACGCGTGGGCCCCTTAGAAATAAAAGTGCAGAGTAACAAATGAATTCTGTTCTGCTGCTCACCATCGTCCCCTGGCACTGCATCGAGACAGGGCGACAGAGTGCAGTCCTTCCAAAAGCATAAGCCTCCAGCACTTTGGAAGAAAGGAAATCTCCCTTAACTGTGCACCATATAGAGCCTGTGACACACAGTTGAGCAGTTCTGAATCTGTCCAGAAGGGGGCTCTGAGGGGCACCCACAGAAACTACCCCACAATTCATTTAGGAGTTTCGATGTTATGTCTCATTATTATCTGCTCTAAATTCCTTCTTCCAGCAGCGGAAGACCAGGAGTATTCTCCTCCATACGTAGAGGTACGTTCATGGGCATCTCCATTTGTGTTCACTCCCAGCTCACTCTGTTACCCGTCCTCATAATGCCCTTCTCTCTGATCAGAGCCAAGTCTGAACCTGGTGCTTAATTAACACTGGCCACAGGGAGGTACTCATGAGGCAGGCTATGCTTCCCCATCCCCATGCACCGACTGTGGGTATAAAACCAGGGGACACTATTAGGGGACAAGGGAGCCCAGCATTAGCTTGGGAAACCCCAGCAACCATCTATATAAAGAAATCAGTACAACACCCCGTCCCACCGTGGTATCTTTGGCTGGAGTCTTCATTGAGTTCCTACCCTGCCAGGGTGAACATCTTATCAGCTGGGGGCCCTTCAACCCCTCCCTTTGCCCTCCACTACACCCCACAGCGCTCAGGGGTCAGTGTCAGTGGGGGCATGGTCCCAGAGCTTGGACGTGCACTCAGATGGGCCCCCTTTGCAGCCACTACCTGTGGTATTAGGAACTGTGCCGTTAAGGACTGAGCTTCCCAGACACACAGACAGTCTGGGGGTGGGGGGGGGGCACCTATGCACCACCAATCGGCAGGGAACTGGGCACAGAATAAAGCTGAGCTCTGGCCCTGAGTGATCAGTGAACAGCTCCACACCACCTAACCCGGCCCTAGAGATTTCAGCTGGGTTGGTGCTGGGCAGGGGGGGCCCTCGCCAGTGTTCCCCCAGCTCTGCTGCCGACCTCGCTGCTCCTGGCACCGCCCGGGCTGAGTGAGGCGTCGCTCCGAGGATGTCCCTGTTCTCCAGCGGGGGCTAGCGGGGGGCTCCCCACCCTCTAGCGTGCCAGGCCCAGGACTTGGGGGCTGGAGCCTGGTGCAAATGGCAGGTCAGAGCAGAGAGGGGCCAGCCCCCAGGCGGTTGCTCCCCTTGGCCCAGGACACGGTCTGGCTGCGCCGGGCGAGGGTAGCCCCCGGGTGTGAGCCGCCCCCCAGCAGTGCTTGCCCCAGGGAGAGGGGCCAGGCGCCGAGCAGGACTACACCTCCCGGCATGCCGGGGCTGGTGGGCCGGGGCCGGAGCCGGGGCTGGGCGGGCGTCGCTGCTCGTCTCTCTCCCGCCAGCGAATCAGCTGTTCGCCTCCCCCCCCCCCGGCCCCCGCCTCTGTTTTCCTGCCCGCGCCGCGCACACGCAGCGGCTGCGCTGCAATGAATGAGCCGCCGGCGCAGGGGCGGGCGAGGCGATCCCGGCCCCGGAGCCCCCCGAGCCGCTGACCGCCCGCCCGCTGCCCGGCCCCGCGGGGCGCCTCGGCCCGGGGCCACCAGCGAGCGAGGGGTCTCGAACC